CTCGAGCCATGCAATAACCCGCTCCCTTCCCGCCACAGTTAACTCCCAGATTTTAAACTCAACCACTCACGGCAGGTTGACAGATTAACTTTGGTTCAGAGCCCGAACGGACAGTGTCCAAGCCACGATAAACAAAGCAGTCATTATTTCTGCTTCCAGTAATCTACCTACTCTCAAGCCAGATGACGTGAAGAAGATAACAACACAGTGGCCGGGGCTGAGAGAAATGGAAGGTATTCAATCGGCCCCCTTTTTACCGGCTGTGTGAGATAAAAAAGCAGATATTGTAGCTTTGAAGTTAGTGTTATTCCTTCTTAACAATGTACGTCACTGAGAGCTGGCAAGATGGAAAAAGGAGGGAGAAAAAAAGAAGCCTAATGTCCTAATTAAGATCGTACAGATTTGATGATGGAGCAGAGAGAAGGCAATTGAATCCATGTGTTCATTTTCTCCCCTCCATGTGTTCTCACTCTCAGTCCCTCTACCACAAACCTCTCACTTTCCTAATGGGACACTTTACATATCGAGTATGATAACTGGTGTTTTGTTTTGTCTGTATGAAAAATCCAATGTTACTGTGTTTCAGATCTTAATTACAAATACAAGTTATATAACTTGTATTTGCCCATCAATTAAAACAAAACTCCATTCTACTTCTCAAAACTGGAGAGATGTTGTGATGGCAGGTGGCTGATATTAAAGTAGCATCACAGGTTTAACACAACAGTAGGTTAAATAGTTGTCAGTGGACATGAGCCCTGTTTTTGTGTTTTCAAGCTGGACACTTACGTTTTACCAGCTCATTTTTTTATTTTAGACATCTGTATAAAAAGCCAGATGCCTGAAACTAAATTTAAATGAAGTGTTACTCGGAGGAGAGCCCTCTCAGCTGCAATAAACCAAACCCAGAGACTCTCTCTGCTCTCCAATCGTGTCTCTACAACCCCTGCCAGAAGAAGCCGCTGTGACAGTGTTTCTAAGTGTGTGTGTGTGTGTGTGTGTGTGTGTGTGGTGTGTGTGTGTGTGTGTGTGTGTGTGTGTGTGTGTGTGTGTGTGTGTGTGTGTGTTAACTGTGTGATGTTCTGGTGACTGGGGAGAGGCCCAGGTGTTTGTTTATACTCACACCACCATAAGTGGCCATAGCTGGGGCCTGCTACTGGGCAGTGCTGGGCTTTAAGACCAGGCGACGGAGCTTTGTGTACAGAAGCTGCTCAGTGTGCTTACATTTACAGAACGTGTTCAAGTATCACACTGTCATTGTGCAAACACACCCAAACAAGCCACTGGCAGCCCACACAATTAGATGGCTCGAGACGCAAAACAAAAACAGTGTGCAGATTATTCTTTTCTCAGTAAATGCAAAGTTGCAGTGAACAATATAATTAAAAACTGAGTGTTGAATTTACCATAGTCATCAGTTGTATCATTTTCTATGAGTTATCTACTATGTAGTCTCATGTTTCAATATGGATAAGCAGTGAAATGTCTACCTCAAAATGAATGGATGTCACATGTCACTTCCCTTCAGATAAAACATTCAGGAAACTTGAATGAAAGAAAGCCTTATTCGAAATGTTGTTTGGTGTTAGGTTATCTAACTTGAACCTTTAGAATCTGTGTAATGTGCTTTCTTAGTGGTCAGCAAAGAATGTCCTAAATGCACACAGATATGTGCAAAATATGCAGGGGAAATCCCCCTACAGCAGACTTCAGGCCAGATCATACACAGAAACAGAGGGAACATTGCATCTTTAATATGCAATTACTGGGTGGATGAAAACATACAATACATGGAGAAAAGTACATGGAAACTAGCACAAAGTACTTAATCTGCTGCGATATAGGTCACCAGGAAAGCTTTCCACAAGCTTTTTGAGTGGGATTTGCTCCTATTCATCCACTAAAGTTGTACTGATGTTGGGCACTGTCTTGAGAGATAACTCGCCATAAAGGTTATGTTGGTTTAATTTATCCAAATAGTCTTTGATGGGTTTAAGGTCAGGGCTCTGTGCAGGGAAACCCATAATCCCTCCTCTGAAAAACATGTATTTGCAGACATTGTCTGTGTATTGGTCTGCCATGCTGTAAAAGGCGGTTTTCCTCAAACTGTTGCCACGAGGTTAAAAGCAAACTACTGTCTGTATTTAGCAAAATTAAGGTTTTGCCATTTGAATACATGGATTTCAAACTGCCACATACTAATGGCCTTATAGTGTATTTAGGGTATTAGGTACTGTACATCAAACACTTTGTATCACTCCTTAGAGCAGGACAGTTGTGGGCATAAGAGTCTATTTGTATTCCATACACATTATTTTGACAATCATTCACCTTCTACTGTATGTGCAAGGTAAACTGTCATGGAAGGAATATTGCATTTGCATCCAACACTACATGGGTATCAGATGAGGGCAATACACTGAGCAAATACTTGAGGTGTGTCTATCTACCATGAGCTTCAGGCATTGTCTCTCTCACATCTTAGCTTAAACAATTACCTTGGAAGAGAGAACCTTCACGTTTTTACGGGAACAGTTAAGTCTTACGGAGCAGCCATAATCAGGTAATATCCTCATGAAATTAATCTCCTCAAAACAAAAAAATACTTTGCAACACACAAGCAAAGGCTAGAATCTTTTACTGGAAAAACCTGGATGAAGAAACTTAAGAAAGACATAATTTCATCAAGCTATAACTGACTATATAAGTTTTATCAACTCAGTACAACAAGTTCCCGTTCTTCACTTGGTCAACAATAACACCTGGTGCCCTGTGATTGGATATGCTTCTAAAATCCAAACAAAACAGAAACATATGGCAACTCTTCTGGAAACATCACATTTCCGTAAAACTATCCACCCAAAATGAATCTGTAGATTATTATGAGGTGGGGAAGAGGGCATGCAGTTGCAGAGTCATGCCTCATTTAACAGCAGTGGGCTAGTTTGTATCTAAAGGTTCACTCCCTGGTCTTGGAGTATGTGAGCGAGCTGATATAAAGTGAAAGTTCCAGACATGAAGCCTGTAGTAAAAACTAAGCTAATACGATTTTAGTGTCTAAATATGTTTTTATTTTGGTAATAAATGTGCTTGTATTAGAATTAAACATGTCTCAATACTATACTATATACTATATACTATAATACGAAAAAGGCAACGGTTCACCTTTTGTTTTGATCTTCATGCTGTGTTTTGTATTTACAGCATTTTTTATTTGCATAATTTTGCTTATGCAGCGCTTTGAGTATGTTGTGTTTTGGTGAGTTTTCTCTAAATGCTGCATATGTGTTGTAAAGATGATTGTATGTGTTCTTGCACTTTAGTGTTTTATTATTTGAAACCTTTTTTGAAACTGCAGTGTGTTTCTCCCAATGAAAATGTTTTGGGCCCTGACAATATACATATATTGTTGTCATTCATGTTTCAAATAATACTTTCAACTGATTCTACGATAACATAAAGGTTGTCATCAGTTGAAACTGAACAGCTTGAATCCATGCAGTAAAGGCTGTTTTCTGAGTTGTTTGAGTCAGACATCAGAATGGCTTTCTGAAGCTCTCTCTACACATTACTAATTTAGCCCCAGCCCCAGTTTAAAAATGTGACAAAAGTTATTTTGCAACATATGAAAATAAACTTTGAACAACAACACACACACGTTAATACACAAAACTACAATGTGTAACTGTCCCCCTATGTGGCACTCGACAAGCATCTGTGATGCTACATGGCAGCACAGAGACTCAGAAGCGTCGGTGTTTGCAGACAAGCGCTGTTCTCCATCAGAAGACTTTCATGCCTGTGATACACACTCGACAGGGGAGAAACTGAATAAAGTAGATGAAACACGAAGACACTCTTTCTTGTTGAGACACAGTTAATATTTAAAGATGTGGGGTATGTGCTGTCTGCTACAGCATCACATCATACAAATATTGTATGCACAAACTAATATTCAAGTACACACCAACATCTTGAATTGTTTTCAGGCTGAATCTCCATTTTTCACTTCTTTGACATTCATAAAAGCAGAACAAAAGCTGTTCTAAAATAATCCAGACATAATGTCACAAAATTACAAAGTAATTGTAAGGAATGAAATCTCTGCACTGATCACAGTAAATGATGCTGAAATATTTTCCTCAGTAATCATCATAACGACTCTCATAAATTAAGACCCTGTGTTTATTCTAGATTGAATGCATCAATGTGATTTACTAGCCAAACAAAAACAGCAGAAACGAGCAGAGATATTTGTTGTGTTTTCAACAATATGGGACTGCCTTGTCTTGACATTTCTGGTGACTCACTGCATGTGCAACAGCTTTTGCAAAACAAAATGCATCCAAGCATAAACCCCACCACACAAAGACATGATTTCATGAACAACACAAATGCACACAAACACTCAGCATCACTCACACATATCCTGTAATCTTCTTCATCCCACAACAGCTTTCAACAAATAATAATGTAAAATGCATGCAGATCTACTTCTGAATGATAATAGTTCTGTAAAGCCTGATCCTCATGCTATCATCAGCACTTCTGTGCTGAGAGTGGATGTGTCTTAGTTATTCAGGTTAATGCATTCGCCTGTGGGGCATATTCCCATTCTGGCACACATCCTCTTCCGAACTGCTGCGCCATTACTGTTCACTCACGCTGTCTTTGGTATAACTACAGCCACACTGCTGGGAATAAACCTCTTAACCTTCAAAAGGATGTGTCATACTGGGGTAGCCATAGCAGGAGTCCCTATTAAATCATTTGTTCCACAGTTAGACCTACAGTGCAGTGTTGCACTGTAGGACCTTATTAGTGCATTGAAATAAAACATCTTAGGGATTTTATTCTAAAGAGCTACACATAATACAGCAAGAAAATAGAAGGAACAAATAGTACTGTATGAAGCACAAGTAATAGCGTGTTTCTGAGGATAGAGAAGTGTAGGCTGAGAGAGAAGTGGGACATCAGTCATTCAGCTGTAGCTCAGGTACCTGCAGGTGAGTGCTTCATGGAAGGGTTTGATGCTGGCGCTGCGGTCCCTTCGGACGGGTCCGGGCTCGATGGACGGCAGGCCTGTGGCGGAGGTGGTGGTGGTCCACGTGGAAGAAATCCTCCTCAGAAGACCAGGGTGGAGACTCCGCCTAATACGCTGCAAACACAGAGAAAAATGTGTGAGATATTTAACATTGTATTATGTATAACTTCTGTGAAATGCCTTGTAAACATGCTGCCGCAACAAACCAAATGTAGACATTTGAGATCAATAAATATAATCTAAAGATATTGACACTTACACACACAGTTACTAACTACACTAATACACCCATCTTTTTATAAATAAATAACATCCTAATCCTTAATTTACTGCCGTAATAAACAAAAAAGGCATATCTGTAATTGTGTTGGCTCTGAAAGAGATACGGTTATTGCTTTTACGCTTTGTCTGGAGTCAAATTGATCATCTAAATGAGACAGTTGTTTTCAGGACTCTGCCCAAGATGAAACAAAGGATTCAGCTGATAAAACCTTGAAAATGTTTCATGATTTGAGGCATTTTAATTGTTTTAGCTCTTTGGATCCAAAGGGAATCAACACAGTCATGACTGAATGGAGGACATTTGCAAGCAGCTGTGGCAATGAAGCCCCTCATGGCACATTGTTTAATACTTTGTGAGTCTTGCATTGCAGAGATACACTTCATCAAAGGGAATCTGCCTCTCTGCTTCTCATTCTCTTTGTGAGTTTCTTTTGTTTTGTTCACAGTCTCTTTCTCTATCTGTCTTTTCTGTGCTCTTTCTCTGGGGTTCCCACTGGTCTGTGCCCTTGTGCTGCCTCCATCTGCTCAGTGACATGCAGCAGCTTGGCACAGCAGCGCTAAACATGGCAGGCTCTCTCCCTCAGTCTTCTGCAGGATGACCTAGTAAAGAACGCCTCAGAATCCTGAATGAGCCCATTCACAGCAATGCGTCATGTACTGAGTGCAAGCATACACACTCCTACGCGCCGCTGGTCACTTCAACGGACATTTCACTGACTTCCATTTACGCTGGAGCCCTTACCATAACACTTGTTCATGAACAATAAGATGGCAATATTTTAATTAGATTTGTAGATTATCTAATTTGTAATGGCACACCTTACATACAATACTGCACGAACAAACACGATTTTAGACCGAGTTTCTCCCCAAAACATCCTGTGTGTAATGGTTTTGTGATGAGAAATTGTATTGTATTGTATTTTCTATTGGATATTAAAACTGCATACAAATATGCCTTTAACTCTCAACTTTCAAAGCGGAATAATGATGCTGTGGCACAATTTTGAAGCAGCATATTTATATTCTTTGATAAAAGCCCTGTAGACACACACCAAAAGCAGAAACACACGAGAGAAACACACACATACACACATCCCCATCGGCACCAACAGCATGGTAAAAACCAGGCCATCTTCATAAAAAAAGAAAAACAGAAAACAGAACTACAGTAAATCCGTTTCCTGCTGCTGTCAGTTTTAATCAAGGTCAATACATGGTTAAGTGAGAAATTGTAAAAGTTTAAACATTATATAATTAGTCGTGTGTTTTGTTATCCATGTTTGATACAGTATGGGCTTCAGATCTAGTGGCTTTTTTTGCAGCACATAGAACATGCCATGTGTTTAGTTTTTGGAAAAGTGCTTGAATCAGTATGCACCACGATGGACATCAAACTCTTGGCCAGGAGGCAGAAAAGCAAGCGCAGGGCTTTCCACTCCGCACTAACCACCTTCACTCCTCCTGAGCCGGCACGTGGTCTCTGGGGAGCCGAGTCCTAATGAGTGCAGCTTCACTCGCCACTCCACAGGCACACTTCGTCTTAGCTACTTTAAAAAAAGTTCAGACGTTGTAAAAAAAGCACCTGTCAACCAAAAAGAGTGGCTCGATTGCAGCGCAGGCATCGACCAATCGCCAGCTTCCGGGGATCTTCCTCAGATTGATAACAGGATCCATAACTGTGGTGGGGGGTCTAGTGTTGTTGACACTTACTCATCCCTCTTTGTAACCTTTTGAGAGACGTGTTCACCTTCATGTTGCCTCTCCTCTTTTACACGACACACACACACACACACACACACACACACACACACACACACACACACACACACACACACACACACACACACACACACACACACACACCACACACACACACACACACACACACACACTCATACACTGTCTGGCTCCTCACATCTGTCATGTTGACACAGCTGTGGCTATGAAAGGGAGAACAGGGCTCGGAGCAGTAGAGGCGCTCTATTTTTCTTCACTCAACTGAAAATACACTCCTTTATTTGATGCTAAAAGCTCTGAGAGCAGGAAGCACTCATTAGCTGAAACACGGGCTAAAAGATTAACATGTGTGTGGAGGGCTGTGTAAATCATTTGTCCTTAATAAAGTAGACTTCACTTTTTATTTTACGATTATTTCAGCTGTTTCTTAAAAAAAAAAGACTACTCTGTATGAACAATTCTGACTTTTTATATTTGGGTAAGATTCCTTCCTAGCAACTAGGCAAGGCAAGGCAAGTTTATTTATACAGCACCTTTCAGCACACGGCAACCCAAAGTGCTTTACAAAATAAAATAAAAGACATTTAAGAATAAATACAGTGGAAGCACATTATAAAAAGGCATTTAAAAACAGGCATTTTAAAAAGCAAAGATAATAAAATAAACACAACAGGTATAAAATACATGGATGAAAGCCAAACTGCAGTTTGAATTTGAACAACTCATCCAAATGCAGCGTCAAAAAGATACATTTTTAATCTGGATTTAAAAGTATTAACAGTTGCAGCTGACTTGCAGGATTCAGGGAGTTTGTTCCAGATGAACGGGGCATAACAACTAAATGCTGCTTCTCCATGTTTAGTTCTGACTCTTGTAACAGAGAGCAGACCTGTCCCAGAAGACCTGAGACTCCTGGATGGTTCATACTTTTGCAGGAGATCGTTAATATAATTTGGTCCTAAACCATTTAGTGCTTTAAAAACCAGCAATAGTACTTTAAAATCAATTATTTGTCAGACTGGAAGCCAGTGTAAAGACTTCAGAACTGGACTGATGTGATCCACTCTTTTAGTGTTAGTGAGGTCTCGAGCAGCAGCGTTCTGAATCAGCTGCAGCTTTCTAATGGATTTGTGAGATCTGTGAAGACACTATTAAAGTAGTCGAGTCTGCTGAAAGATAAAAGCATGGACAAGCTTTTCTAAATCCTGTTGTGACATTAGTCTTTTAACCCTAGATATGTTCTTTAGGTGATAGTATGCAGACTTAATAACTGTTGTAATGTGGCTGTTACATTTCAGGTCTGAGTCCATCACTGCACCTAGAGTTCTAGCTTTATTCGTTGTTTTGAAGTCTGCCGACTGAAGCTCTGTGATGACTTTTAATCGTTCGCTCCAAAAACAATAATCTCAGTTTTCTGTTTGTTCAATTGGAGAAAGTTCCTACTCATCCAGTCATCGATTTGTTCAATGCACTTACTCCAACCCAGTCTCATGGCATTTCGTGTTCACCAACACGATTTTTAATCTATTGATTCGTGTTCACCAACACGATTTTGCCCTTTTTTTCGTGTTGCACAGCACGATTTTAAAAGCAATATATTTCTACTGGTAATGACGCTCATGGAAGCACGGCATTCGTTTGTGTCGGCTGCCCTTAAAGGCAATGTGAGCGTCCATTCTCATTGGATAACGGAGAATTGTACACCCGGAAGTAAGTATTCCCCTTACTGTCGATTGATTTTACAGTGATATCTGCACTACTCATCGACTAAAAAACACCAGATTATCCTTGTTAATTACACAACATTGATTGGTTTAAATTGTGTGCAATGCTTTTGTATTTTTCCCCTTCGATTCGGAGAAACAAATATTTTTTCGGAGTAAAGGATGGCAGAAGACACTACACTACCCAGAATCCCCAGCTATCGTTTGGACTACACCATGTGCTCTGTTTGACAAACCCCGTTTTTTTTCACCATTCATTCCAATGGCTGGCGTCAATGTCACGTGATCTTCAAATTTCTCCCTGCAGAAGAAAAAAAACATGACCGAACTTCGTTTTATTCTCGGTCGAAAATGCCTATTTTAAAGTTAGTTTGGCCATTAAAATGCGTTTTGATGTCATTTGATGTGAGAAATATGAGTTGTTATTTCAGATTATGTGTGCAGTGGATGTACATGATCTTTAGTTTGCTAGTTATTACGAAGATTACTTCAGGAAATTGCGTCCATAGAATGTTTTCATTGTTACCAAGGTGGTTGCTAGGGACGCTGCTATCGATATTATTTCTGTTATGTTGTGTAACTGTTTAATGGTGTTATCTTTATTGCTAGCCCCTTCCCCGTCAATGTATAGTGTTGGTCCACAGCGCAAACATATTAGTTTAACAAAATCCGCATCTAAAGATAGCCTACGTTATTTTCCCCTGTGCAATTCCAGTCTCACATCTCACAGCACATCGTCATTAACAAATACCGGAAACAGACCGAAAACATTTAAAAAAAAAAAAATAATACTTTATTTCGAGTGTGCTTGCTTTTCTCTTTGAAAGTCATTCCATAACGGCATTGTAATACACGGTTCGGCTGCATTAAATATTACATATCTGCTGTACTTCTCTATTTATAGAGCCCTGATGAGAAGACTTCTAGACAAACATGAGGAACTGAAAACGTGACGTGGATCATAAATATATCAGCCATTAAACAACATCTTACATTTCTTTTCACACAATACGTCTCCTTGCAGTGTCAACACTAATTCGGCTGACTTTTATATTTGATCCAATTGGTAGATAAGCTGTATTTACACCATAAAGGTGCACAGCGGATATAAAGGGACACCTAGTGGTTAAAGCATGTTATTGAATTTCATTATTTTTATTATTAGATATTAATAGGATCCCTATAAAGTATATTCATTACTCGTTATTCTCTACTAATAGTTAATTAAAGACTGTATATAATGACTATTTTGCACATCCCTTTCAAGATTTCAAGATTTTCTAAGGTTTATTGACATGGGCCGACACAACTATGGTGTAGTTATACATTGAATGAAAAACTTGGGTCGCAGGTTCCTCAATAGTGCAT